AACTTTGACCCATTTCAAGTTAATTTTTATGTATGGTATATGGTAGGAGTTAAACTTCATTCTTTTTCATGTAGATATCTACTGGTTTTAGCACCATTTGTTGAAAAGAGCCATTCCTTACCTATTGATTTATCTTTTAACATTTGTTGAAAACCAACTGGCTATAAATGTGTGGGCTTATTTTTGGACTCTGTTATGTTCCATTGATCTATACTACTATCCTTATCAGTGCCGTATTGTCTTGATTTCTGTAATTTTGTACTAGAAATAAGGAAGTGTGATTCCTTTGACTTTGGTCTTTTTCAGTTTTGTTTGTCTATTCTGGGTGCCTTGCCTTTCCTATATGAATCATAGCATCAGCTTGCCAATTTCTGCAAAATGGGCAGCTGGGATTTTGATAGGGATTGGAATAAATCTGTAGATCAATTTGAATATTGCCACCTTAGCCATATTAAGCCATGAGCATAGGATGTCTTTCCATTTATTTAGATCTTTACTTTTCTTCATTGATGTTTTGTAGTTTCCAGTGTACAAGTATATACTTACTTTGTTAAATTTATTCCCAAAGATTTTATTTTTTATGCTATTATAGACAGAATTGTTTTCTTATGTTCATATTCATTCTGCTCCTTGCTAGTGTATAGGAATATAATCACAGTGCCTGGTGGGCTGCTGGTTTCATCATTGCTTTTATGGAGGGGAGAGTTTTGGTGAGTTTCTTACTCTGGCATGCCCATTACTTCATTCTCTCCTTTTCTTTCTTTATTTATTTAAATAATTTATGTGTTGAAGAAACTAGGCTATTTGACTTGCAGTTTTCCACGTTTGCAATGGTGTATTCTATGTAGTTCAGTATGTTCTTTATCCTGTGAAGGTCATGGATGGCAGCTCAATGCACAAACCTGATCTGACTCAGGTTTGGACCCTCTGGCGAGACCATCAATGGCATTATGTTCTTTGTACAGGAAACACAATGTTTGAATTTTTAGGGCAAATCTATAAGGCAGTAAATTTATTTTCAAGTGGGGTGGTAAGTAGACTTATATTTAAAAATTAAAAATAGGGGCAGAAATCTCACTCAACTAAGTCTAAGCCACCTTAGCTGTCTATTAAATAAGAAAAATTTAATATGTCAGTTTAGTGAATCTAGAATTTTAGGTACAAGACCATCTATAATTACAGTAACACTAGTAATATTTCAGGACAGTATATTAATTACCAATGAATACTAGGTTAGAATTGCCTATAATAATGATAAAAGTTAATACTTACCATCTACCTATTTTGTGCTAGGCACTATCTAACCCCTTTTATATATTGTGTATATTTTTCATTTGTCTCTGCTTTGACTGTAGTAAATTGCAAATGTAAATATATACAGATAGTATGTACACTTTACTCCTCCTATCCATATATGTTGATAAGTATTGACTATTTTATGTTTAATAATCCCCCAATTTCAGTACCTTCCTTTTGAAAGCCTAAACAAAAACCTGAGATGGGCAAAAGATTATTCTTCTGCTCAATTGTAGCTATTCAAGAGGTGATGTTAGAGTATGGCCATGGGATGTATCTACTAAAGAAGCAGACGTGGCAGCCTCAACCACTTCACATATATGTATGTATTTATGTTCACAAACAGTGTCATAAGTCCACATGGGTGCTATCCATGGTCACCACAGGGATTTATTCCAATCCCCATTTAGTCCAGTGTTATTCTCTAGCTTCAGAATCTTTAAATAGAGTAACCATATTTAGGGATTACCTCACTTGTGGTTTGTGTTTTTTTAATATGAAAGTTCAAATTTTTTTGTTCATGCTAATTTGTTTTCCAAGATGGTTGGTTGAACCAATTTACATTCTTGCAGCACCTGAAAATCTCCCTTGTTTCAGATATTCACCAAAATGTGACATTGATCTCTTATTCTTCCCCATTTAGTTAATGTGAAATTATATATCATTGTGGTTTTGTGATTAAATTTTTTATTTTGAGGCAGTATAGATTCCCACGCAGTTGTAAGAAATAATACAGAGATTCCCATTATCCTTTACCTAGTTTCCCTCGATGATAACATCTAGCAAAACTATAGTAAAATATCATACCCAGGATAGTGGCATGGATGGCAATGTCAGATCTGGTTCAGATTTCTTATTACTTTACTTGTGTGTGTGGGTGTGTGCACACCTGTGTGTTTAGTTTCATGAAATTTTATTGCATGTGTAGATTTGTGTGCACAGCACACAATCAAGATACAAAACAGTTCCATCGCCACAAGCATCGCACCTGTTGCCCTTTCATAAGCATACCTGTTTTCTCCCATTCACAGGCTCAGACAACCACTCATTTGTTCTCCATTTCTTTAATTTTGTCATTTCAAGAGTGTTATATAAATGGGATCATACAATATGCAACTTTAGAGACTGGCTTTTTTCATTCACCATAATTCTCTGGAGATTTATCCAAGTTGCTTATGTCCACAGTTCACTTTTTGATTGCTGAATAGTATCCCATGGCACCATGGTTTGCTTAATCATTCACCTGTTGAGGGACACCTGGGTTTTTGCCAGTTTTTTGTTATTACAAGTAAAGGTGCTATGAACATTTGTGCATAGGTTTTTGTGCCAAAACAAGTTTTAGTTTCTTTGCAAGAAATGTCCAAGAGTGCAGTTGTTGGGTTGAATGGTAATTGCATGTTTAGTTTTATAAGAAACTGTCAAAGTGCTCAGCAGAGTAGCTGTCCCCTTACACATTACCATTAGGAATGTGTGAGAGATCCAGTTCCTCTACCTCCTTACCAGTACCTGGTAATACAGTTTTTCACTGTAGTCATTCTGGTAGGTGTGTAGTGACATCATGATTCCAATTTGCATTTCTCTAATGGCTAGCGATGTGACACCTCTTTTCTCTTACTTCTGTGTCATTTCTGTGTTCCCTTTGGTGAAATGTTCATGCCTTCTGCCCATTTTCTAACTGGATTGTCTATTTTCCTATTCATGAGTTTTGAGAGTTCTTTATATATTCTATAGATGTGTTCTTTGTCAGATACTTGGTTTCCAAATATTTTCTCCCAATGTGTGGCTTGTCTTTTTGTACTCTTAACAGTGTTTTTCTCAGAGCAAAAGTTTTTCATTTTGATGAGGTCTAACTTACCAAGTTTTCCTTTTACAGAGTGTGTTTTTGGTGTCAAGTCTAAGAATCCTTTGTCTGCTCCTAGATCCTGAATAATTTCTCCTCTGCATTCTTTTCTAAAAATCTACAGTTTTTTGTTCTATATTAGACCTATGATCCATTCTGAGTTAACTTTTACATGTGAGATTTCTCTGCAATGGATTCAGCACTATTTGTTGAAAAGCTTGCCCTTCCTCCACTGAATTACTGTATTGAAATGATGGTTTTACCTAACCACACCAGTCTAGAAGACTTTTAATGCAATTTTTTTTTGTCACAAAGTGATTGGGGAAAAAAACCCACATTTGAATTTTTTCTGAGATATTTTGATATTCAGAGAGTTCTTATTTGAGAATCATAATCTTGTCCCTTTATTTTTCTTTAATAAGTGGTCTTTCATTGTGGTTATAGAGAATCAGAAAAATGTGGCAGAAAGGGAATGCCTAATCCATATGTCTCAAGCAATTTGGAAACACAATTAGGAGGAAGAAAAAAGATAAGAAAATAAAACAATAGAAATACCATTTGACCTAGGAATTCCACTCCTAGGAACTTACCCAAAGAAAACAAGTTCTCAGATTCAAAAAGACATACGTACCCCTATGTTTATTGCAGCACTATTTACAATAGCCAAGATCTGGAAGCAACCTAAATGCCAATCAGTAGATAAATGGATAAAGAAGATGTGGTTCATATACACAATGAATACTATTCCGCCATAAGAAAGAAACAAATCCTACCATTTGCAACAACATGGATGGAGCTAGAGTGTATTATGCTCAGTGAAATAAGCCAGGCAGAGAAAGACAAGTACCAAATAATTTCACTCATTTGTGGAGTATAACAACAAAGCAAAACTCACCAACTCCAAGAAGGGACTTGCTCATTACCAAAGGGGAGGGGTGTGGGAGGGCAGGTGGCGGGGGAGGGAGAAGGGGATTGAGGGGTATTATGTCTAGTACACATGGTATAGGGGGGAGTCACAGGGAAGACAGTGTAGCACAGTGAAGACAAGCAGTGACTCTGTGGCATCTTACTACACTGATGGATAATGAGTTCAATGGGGTATGCGGGGGGACTTGATAATATGGGTGAATGTAGTAACCATATTGTTTTTCATGTGAAACCTTCATAAGAGTGTGTATCAATGATAACTTAATTTAAAAAATTAAAAAAAAAGAAAACAAAGACATGAGAGGGCCTGGGCTTTACCTTCTAATCTGTCTCTCTGTCTGGACTACCTTGGACTGATTTCCTGTGCGTAAATGGGAAGAAGAGTAACACCTCACACATAAAGCTGCCCACCCAGGCAGTCCTGCTATAGTGCCCTTCTGGCTCCCAGGGAGACAGGGAAGAGCAAGGTTCTTTCTCCTGGGAATCTGTCTCAGAGAAGGCTGGTCTTGAAGGTGTATGTAGGCATCTGAGCAGCTGGTGAATGGTGAGCTTGGATTGGCATGTTGAGTGGAGGGATGAGGGTGGCATAATGCACTCTCCTCCCCACCCCCAACACAGCACTGTCACCCTTCCTGAGCTCCAGAAAAGATCAGTGACATCAACGGATTATGAAAAGCCTGTTTGTTGGCCTTTTCCTGCTGCCCCTGCACCTGGGGCTCTCCATGTTGGAGATTAGCAGCTGGAGATTAGTTGGGCACAGACATTTAAATGTCAGCTTTGGTTTAAAGAAGCCCTTCTAAGAAGGGAGGGAAGAGTGGACCAGCCTTCCTCATCCCTCTTCCAGTAATTCAGCCCTGTGCTTTCCTGTGAGTCTGCACCTTTTCACAACACAGGGCTCACTGTTCCTTCTCATGAGTCTCACTCTTCAGGCAGGTGTTGGAGATCAAATCTGTAGAGAAAGAGCTGGCGCCAAATCCAATTCTGCACGTGGCACAGGAAAAGACAGGAATTGTGTTGGAGGCAAAAACGGTCGTAACTCACTTTCCCAGATAGGAGAGAGGAGGCAGAGGATACTTCTGGGCCCAGGTACTCTCTGTAACAGTATATGTGTAACTCGGAGGGAGGGGCCATTCTCGTGGTTCATTTGCTCATTCATTTATTTATTCATTTAACCCTTCATCTGGGAGTTTACTTATTTATTTGCTTGTTCACTGAAAACCAAGCAGCCAACCCCCAGTGAATATTTCTGTAGCTTCTCCTGTGTGCCTGGCCCTATGCCCAGACCCAGGGATGCGAGTGCCAACCCACATGCCCTTCTGGACATTGCAGGGGTTCTGCTACACATGTCTTTGTGTGAGACCGCCCTGCAGGTCAGGGGTGAAGCTCTGACAGAGGAGGAAATCTGGTCCCTCTTGTCCCTGGCTGTGGAGCAGCTCCTAGAAGACATTTGTGATGGTAAGAGAGGGTGTTTGGGGCAGCTGAATCATGGGGAGTTGAATGTGAAGCTTCTGAAAGACATTTCTGGCTGCAGCTTCTCAATCAGTTATCAGTCTGGGGTGTTAGACCAAGTAGGCAAATGACACCCACCCATCAAGCAGCAGGCCTGTCTCCTGGGCCCAGGGCATATAGCAGAGATGAAAGAAAGGCCTTGCTTCTGCCTTGACATTGCACCTTCCCAGGCATGATGGTTACAGAGAGAGTGGCTGCAGCTTTATGGGCCTCTCCCAACACCCGAGCAGCCTGGGCACAAGGAGGCAGGAGGCAGGGGGCAGCCACCTGGACATCAGACACCTGCAGGCTGTCCCTTGTCAGATGATGTATCAGCTTGTGTCCTGTCAGGAGAACTCACACTCTTGGTGGTCTAAACGGGAGAGGTGGGGACTAATATAAAACATTACTGAACTCCAACAGAAGAGTGACTGTAAGACACAAGACAACTCTACATGGTTCTCTAGGACTGAGGGCAGTAATCAGCAAAGGACAAACTTTGAATGGAAACCCCCTCCCCAAGATTGGGTTCAGACCTGTTGGAGTTGCTGTGCTTGCAGCCAGCAGTGGCAGTGTCGCTGCTTAACCCCGCCATGGGTGGTAGGCAGTCACTGGGCTAGCGAGGCGCAGGAATCCTCTGCAGGGGCGTGGTGATCCTCTGGGGTCGCAAGTAGGCAAGCTACAGTGTAGGGAGCTAGTGCGGCCAGGAGGCCTGGAGCCCGCTGCGTCTGTGTAGACGGGGCCACGAGAAGGTGATCTCATGGTCAGGCCGGCTGCGAAGTGGCCGAGGGGCGGTGCGTGCCTGACGTGCGTGTGGAAGAGCGTCCCCGGGCGTCTTCAAGTGCACACCGGGGACAGCCCGAGAAACCGCCGCAGAACTCCTCCTGCAGTGCCTCTCCAGCGCCCTCTATTGAGAAAGCTGAGTGTCGAGCTCTCTGTAAAGCAATGATGCTAAAAGGAGCAGGTGTTGAAAGATGAATTTGGAAATGTTAGGCATTAAACTGGTAGCTGGAGCAAACACTGGGTGCCCACATTCAGATGTCAACTGAGAAGTCAAGCGTGCTTGGGGGAATGCCAGCCTGGAGTGAACGCTTCCCACGTGTGGGATCACACGTGCACAGTCAGGGTGGCAGTCCCAGTGTGGGCAGATGAGGGGAGGATGTGTGCTTGTACTTCAGGTTCAGCTTCCCCCTCAAGTCTGCTCCTTTCCCTGCCCTGAAGGCTCTGATGAGCATCTACAGTGCACCAAGAAGACCAGGAGCTTGGTCCCTAGCTTGGCCCCAGAGAATTCTGACTTGGGCTAACTTTCAGGTGGACCTGACCTCTGTACCTTGAGACTCTTGGGCCACTGATGGATTTGGATGCAGGTGCTAGTTTCCCCACCTCTGCACTGCCCCGCTGCATAACATATGCTCCTGTGTGCCCATGAATCAGGTTCAAGTCAATTTGTTTCAGCTCCCCTGCAGAGAGGGCAACCCCACCTCTGCACCCCCATTACTGCCTTGGTTTCAGATTCCTTGGACTATGTCATCTGTCCCTGGTCAGCCCTGCTTTCTGCAGCCAGAAGTCTTTCTTTCCAAGACCAGGTTTCTTACATAGAGGCTGCTCCTTTCCAAGGCCCCTGAACTGCTACAAGGACAAAGCGACGATGAGCAGCCTGGTGTTTCTCAGGTGAGATGTGTTGCATCTCCGCAGCACCCTCCAGCCTGTCCCTGGGACAGGCTTGGTTAGGGCCTCACGCTTGTCCTGACGGTGGCATCCCCAACTCCCAGCTCAGCCCCGAGGAGCACTGAGGCAGAATAGGTTTAAAGAATTTTATTCCCAGGCTTTCTTGCCAGCAAGTTATTAGCTCTTAGATGAGGACAGGTCAACTTCTCTGAGGCCCAGTTTTTATATCCTTAAAGTGGTTAATATAACCAAATCTACCAGCTTACTAAAAATATTCAAAAATAAGTGCTGGAAAAGCTGTGGGTAAATGGTCTGGGACATTGGTACTGCTGGAAGCATGTAGCAAAAACCCTAAAGATGACCCAAGGAGGTCCAAACCAGGAAGTTATTCTAAGGCATGAGTAAAGATTGATTTAGCTGCAGCAATGTTCATTGTTATATTGTTGACATTAGTGATAAATGGGAAACACAATAAATGTGCAGTGAGAGTGCACATGAAATAAGACAGCATTAAACTGAGGCTGTAGGAACTTGTTTAGTGACTTGAAATTAAATACATGTATGTACAATACAATCCTATTGGATAGACACACACACACACACACACAATTCTAAAAATATAAATACCAAGGTGTCTACAGTGGTTATTCCTGGATGGCAGTGACAGTGGTGGCTTTAGCTTTTCCATGAATGTGTTTTGCTTCGTAGTAGCAAAAGGTCTGTGAACATTATTTTCAAATTTAAAAAGAAAAAATTTTAAGGAGAGAATAATGTAAGGCAGGCAGGAAACCCTGGGCTGGGCTGAGTGGGCATTTAATCACAAGTTCTCTTTCTTCTTCCTTGTGCTTTCATGGAAAAAGTACAAGTCTGGAAATTCTGCTTCTCTCATTAGCCATCTGGAACAGGGGCTGCTTTTCCTTTGGGCTCAGGAAATAGGCGTTGGTGATGGCCGGGGATGGTTTGACTGGGTGCATGTATCTCCAAGTCAGATCACAACAGTGAAGGCATCAGAGTCCCGGTCCCAGTGGCCCTGCCTCCATTACCTACAGGCAGGTGCCCCAGGACTCCAGGCTCATACACCATTTCCTACCCTACCAGGATCCCAGGGCTGAATCCCTGGACTCCTGTGTTAGACACAGACATGAGTACCTCTCAGATTCCCTCTGGGTATTTCTGCCATGCTCCACCCACATCAAATTGCCTTCTACACTCCTGGACTCAGCTAAGATGCCGCATCCTGAGCCATGGGATTTGACATTCTGAGCAACCACTAGAGGGGCCTGCTGTTGCAACCTGGAAGTGTAGGAGACCTAGTTTCCAAGGGTGAATGGTGAACCTTAACCAATGGCAAATGAGAGTTGGGAGGGAACTGAGAAGATTAATTTTCTCTTCTTCCTTTCCTCATGGACTTCTTTGAGATGGGAAAGTCTTGAGTGCCATGTCTGCCGCACTTCCTGCTGTGCTCTGTGGCTAGTTGCAAGGAGGTGGCCAGCATAGTGACTTCATACATCACATCTGTCCTTGCCTCCTTTCCTCTTTTCTCTTCACCCTCATTGCCCCTGGCTTATAGCTCCTGAGTGAAGTGTCAGTACTTAATCTTTGCCTCAGGCTCTGCTTTCCATAAGACCTGAGCTAAGACATATCTTGAATGCTTCTGGGGTGCTTCCCCATCTCTTCTAGCATCACAGGTGAGGAACAGACATCACCCTCCCTACTGCAAGTTGGCTTCCACTGAGCATCTTGTGAAGGTCTAATCACTCCTCTACGTAGAGTATCCTAAGCTGAGCTGAGCAGGAGAGTAACATCCTGCTCCCTCCTGCACATGTTCCTCCATGCAGAGAAGTAAGGGCTCTAAGAATTCCAATGCTAAAGGAATAGGCCAGGTTAAGAACTGGGAAGGTATGTTGCTGAAATTCTAGGTCAAGGATGAGTTAGAGCTGGAAGAGCTTTAAAAAAAATTTTTTTTAATCCAGTATTTACTGAATTGTGAGCCATTGCTAACATTGCTGAAAATCCAAGACTCGTTTGTCTGGATTTCTCTCTCTCAGTTCCACCTTGAGACAGAAGCCTGGAGCAGAACTACACTAAATGCCAGAGGGTACCAGGAAGACAAGGGGGATGCAGGGAGATGGCAAAAGGTGGGGCAGAGGAAGGAGCAGGGCCAGAGTGCAAACATGGACCCCTGGGGGCCACACCCACACCCACACCCACACACAGGCAAAGACCAGGGATGTAGGTCTCTGTGCACCTGGTGGCCACGAGGACATTACAAAAAGACTAGGCATCCGCGAGACATTTCAGTCCTTCTGGTCATGAAGCATCTGCTGACTAGGGCTGGGCCAAGATTGCTGACTCTGCCTTCAGGGCACATTAGCCCTGAGCCAAGGTGGCTTTGATGGTGGCTACCAGCTTCAGAAACTTGCTCTCTGCGTCCATATAGCCACGATCCACATCAGTGTGGGAAGAGACTGAGTCCTGAATGAACCTAACAGCCATTTTTGTTGGTGGCTTAACTCCCTATGGTTCTGAAGCATGGCATATGACAGTGTGATTTATAGAGCAAAGCACCAGCCCTGAGCCCTGTTTATTAGGCCAGGAGGCAGGGTTACCTGGCCATTCTCTCTTATAGCATTCATACCACACAGTTCTGTTAATCCCTGTTCTCCATTCATTTCAGGACTTTCTCTTCATCCAGCTTCACCCTGGCCCTGTGGGAGGTGGGATGAGCAATCAGAAAAATGGTCTCAGGAGAGGAGAGGCTATGCTCAGAATCCTCCTCCAGCCTTGGGCCCCATTCTGAATTTTGAAGGGTGTACCCTGACTCCTTTCCTCAGGCACCATCAAGCTCTAACCAGCATGGTGAGACATTTCCACCACTGCTTAGAGGGTTAGTCCCAGTGCAGGTGGAAAGTGTGTGCAGAAATCATGCTGCCATCATCCCACCCCATGCTCATGGCAGACATCACCAATTGATCATGGTGTTCTTTCCCACTGAGCCAAGAGTTGCCTTCAAAACCCTTCTCACACCTTCTCCAGGTGCATTTACAGTGGGCTGGATTTGGGATTGGGATGAAACTTGTTGTCACTTTGGCCTTAGGCCTCATTTTAGGACACGTTTGACAGAGCCTTTGGGATCCAGGTAAATTCCAAGGTGTGGATGGTGCCTCTGAAAGGACTCAGGACACTTGTCCAACATCAGCTCTAGGGTCATTTCTCTAGAAATGAGGATGCAGCTTGTGAACTTCCCTGTAGATGTCTGGTCCCATTCATCAGAGAGGTGATTGGCTAGTTTAGGGGTAAAATTGAAGACAAAGAAGAGAGCTAGTTGACACCTGTGACACATGTCTTTGACCTAGAGATATAACCCAAACCCCCTTGTATTAAACTCAGTAGATTGCTCAGGTGACCTTGCATACCATCTTTTGCTAATTCAGTATATCCCTTCCAATGTCCCAAAAGTCATTTCCTGAAGATAGGTCTTAAGGGGAATAAATGTACCTTGTCAGCTATAATAGAAGCCCCACAGTAATAATACACTGACATTTATTGAGGACTTGGTAGATCCACAGGTGATGTAGGCAAGGGCTCAGGGCAGGGGCTCTGGAAATTGGGTTCAAGTTTAGGCTACAGGTCTTATTTGGGCAAGTTCCATCAGTTGCCTTTGCTTGGCCTCCTCAATAAAATAAGATAATTAAAACACTTACCTCAAGGGACTGTGGTGGGGACTAAATAAGTTAATATTACTAAAAGACTTAGAGCAAGGCTTGGCATATTATAAACACTCTATATGTCCAATAATAATTATTATTATTACCATTTCCAGGTTTTTACTCAGCCCTCATGAGTCTTCAGGGAGAATACTCACTTTAAAGATGAGGAAAGTGAGACTCAGAAAAGTCAGATAATGCCCTTGCATTACACCACATTGCTTTCTGACAACGTATGATGCTTCTAAATCAGGCTGAGCCTTAGTGTGTTGTATACAGATGGCTTTGGCTACAAACCACAGAGAGCCTAAAGTATAGTAGCTGGAACCACAGGTACAGTTATTATTTACTTAACAAGAAGTCTGGGGATTGGAAATGTTATCAAGGATCCAGGCTGTACGTTTACATTCTACCCTCCTTAGCTTTGTTCTTATGCTTGTGGCCTCATGGTCACAGATGGTTGCTGTGTTCAAAGCAAGAATAAGGAGGAAAGGGTGGAACCAGCTACATGTGTTCCTATGGTTAGTAAAGTAAAAGTTTTCTAAGAACACCCAACAGTGTCTGCCACACATGGAAATGGAACTGTGTTTTGTTTGTGGGACCACAGAATAACAGAGGTGACTGATATCTAATCACATGCTTTTTCTCTTGGGCAGATGCACTTCTGTTCATTAGGAATGACCCTCTACTGGTCAGCAGGATTTCATGTTCCACCAAATTAGGTCTGTTAACAAGATACTCAAAGTCTTACCAGGTCATGCCTTTGGATTTGGTGGTTTTCCCTATGACAGGTACCGCATCTATTGAGCTGTGTGCCACCATTCTGCCATTCTAGGTTCTTGGAAGACATTTCCAACTAATTACAGAATTCCTCCTATTAAGTCCAGAAACAACCTTAGACTCTTACTCAACATGGCACTTCAGGCAGCTACAATTTGGAATTGACAAGCAACATGAGACTTAACTGCTTACCTCTGCTCAGAGCAAGTAGCAAGCTAGTAGATTTTATAGTTACAGAAGGCACAGATGTTCAAAACAGGCTTTAAAGCAGACCTTCCTGAAGTGAGATGCTTTCCTGAAAATGGTTCTGTGCTCAATCGATTTGGGAAAATTCTCCCTACAATATCTTCCTCTCAAAGAGTTTTCAGAATAGTTTGTTTAAGACTCTGAGAAGGCTTAAATCATAGAAAACTTAAAACTTTACCATAACATTTTACAAAAATGATTTGCTGTATGAATGCAGGACTTTCTGTAGCCTAGTTACAAGTGAAGACAAGAATTCCCAACTGATGCTCCATGGCAAGAAATGGCAGAGCAGCTTTAAAGGGAAATGACTTACAGGGTGGGTGGGCATGAGAAAAAGCTTGAGTTTGAGTCAGAATTTGAGGTTTTCCCCATATAAATTGTGGCCATTTAAATGCATGAAGGAAGCACTTAATAAGATATCTATTATTTCTCTTGCTTGATGTGTACATGTGACTTAAAGTTCAACCAATGATTATTGACCTTGTGCTGACCTCTGGAGGTTCTGAAGTGAAAAGGCCACAGTTCTGTTGCCTCTGGAGCTCACATTCTAGGGGAAAGGACCAATGAGACCCTGGTAAATAATTTGAGAAAATGACAGGCTGCCCAGGTGAATGTGAGCTAAAAGCTGATCCCTGGTTTGATCTGGGCATGTGGCATAGGTAGAAATCTATTTTGCCAAGCACCTGTTTTCCGTAAGTATTCCAAGCACATATTTGGACTCTCCAGGCAATGAAGGACATCCCAGATTAGAATGCAACAAACTTCTCCCAACTGGCACAAAGATAATTGCTCTGCATCTCAGTGACATATCTTAGATCCTGTCCCTAAACTCTCCAGGAGCAGGCATTTGTTTAGATGTAATGAGAACTACTAGACAAATGGTTTCCATTATTTCCCACTGCACACCTGCCTGACAAGGCACTGTGCTCAGTGGTAGCAGCACACGGGCTTCTCACGCAGCCCTCTGCTCTCCAGCCTCTGCCACTCCATGAGTGTCTGCACTCCCTTCTGCTGACTATGTGTGAAGACCAGCCTTGCAAGTGACTGCCATTGTGGTTGGTTCTGGAAGTGTGTCGGGCTCACTGGGAAGAAGGGGCTGTATACGGGGCCTCTGCCAGTCTCCATGTCAGGCGGCTGATCGGCTTGGTTCTGGGCACCATCTCAGGTCAGTATAGATCTGTGCTTTCCAACCCAAGAGTCACTAGCCATGTGGGCTGTTGACATTTAAATTAGCTAAATATAGTTAATTGAAATGAAATAAAATAAACAATGCAATTCCTCAGTCACACCTATCACATTCCAAGTGCTCAGTAGACACTTGTATCTGGTGATGACTGTACTGCTTGGGGCAGATCTAGAACATCCCCATTACTGCGGTCCTGCTGGCCAACACTGGCAAAGACCCAGATTTCTAATGTGGCTTGGACCCTTGGGATCTTTGAAAGAGACTCTTTACATGAAAATGATCATGTTTTTAACCCGAGTCAGTTCACCTATGAAAATTCAACTACAGCTTTCCCTGATGGCACTTACACAGTCCCTGGCTGCTTCCTCCCCTCTGCCACGTTGTACCTGCAGAGCATCCCCTTGTTGTGCCTGTCACACTGTACTGCTTACTGCCTTGTACATTCCACACTGCCTAACGAGAGGCCTGGCCCATAGTAGGCCTTTTGCTTAGGTTGGGTTCCCCTGAAGCAAAGCCAGACACAGAATGCTTATGCATGTTATTTACTGGGGAAGTGCTCCCTGGAGGCAGGAACTGATGATGGAGGACAGGATGGGGGACAAACTGAGCAAGGAGGTGGTGTCAGATGGAGACAGCCTCAACCTGATCCCATGGGGATGCCTGGGGCAGGCATTGTACTGGCATTGGCTCCTCAAGGCCAGGGCGGCCCTGGGACTAGGGTGAGTTATGTGGGGTGCCCGGGGTACAGATGCCAGGAGGCCTGAAAGTTAGAGGAAGCAGAGGGAGGTGAGGCCAGAACCTGGCTGCATGGCTGCTGCACTTGTCCAGAGAGTAGGTCGGGGAACTGAGACCAAGGCTAGTGCAGGGGCCTGTAGGTGAAGTGGAGGAGAGAGCTGGGGTGGGGAAGCTGTCCACAGTCATCAGAAAAGGCCTGTCCCCCTGTCCTCCTTCTTGGATCTCTTCTCCCTTGGTGTGGAAACATGTTACTCCCATTCATTGAGCTAGAGAATTTGGTGGGCAAGAAGGCATCTATTTATTTGAATGACACTAGAGCCTACCATCCACTGATATATTGTTGTCCCCTGATAAACACTATGGTGATCTGTAGTGTCAGGGACCCACAAAGTAGATTTGGATCACTTATTTGACGTTCACTGGGGCACTGGACTATGTGAACTACAGTGATAAACAAAGAACACAGCAAGGCTGGGAGACAGATGAAGAAGGAAACATGATATAAGGTGGTGTCAGGGAAGGAGCATGAGTACTGTGATGGGGGAAGTTGACTAGAGGACACATATCTGTCTAGAGGGCAGTAGTGCAGAGATTTGGAAGTAGGGAACTCATAGCTCTTGGGTCTTGGCAGCACAGAGGAGCTTACCAGGGGGACCCTAGACAGTAGGGGGCACATGAGCAAAGGCACAGATGGGCATGTATATACAGGTAGTGGGTAGGGATGAATTACCTCTATGGTACATATGGGTAAGGGGTATACAGAACATGTTCTGGTTGCTAGAGAATGCATCGGTGGGCTCTCACTGTGCAGAATGGACACTTCCACCCTGACTTAAACTGACAGCCATGTATGTGTTTATATAAATACCCCTGCTCAACTTTGGGATGTGGATGTGTGATGCACTTGCCCTTCAGGTAGAAAGGAGAGTTGTGGAAGAAAGCTCCTCTGTGCAGCAGGACAGAAGGTATGTGAGTTTTGGGCGAGCTGTGAGAGCCTAGTGGCACGGGCCCTGGAGGGTCTGCCCCCCTGCAGGGTTGGTTCTGCACCCTGACCAGTCCCTGGATGTCCCTGTGGCACCCCTTCTATTTCCTGCCCTGTGGGGGCCAGGTGTCCACTCTGCAGTAGCAGAGAAAGCCTGTGCAAGCTCCACTCTTCCAAAAAGCCCTTGAAGAGAAGGGGCTGAGCTTAGGACTTGTCTCTGTTCTGAGGAAAGCTTCATTTGGACACAATTTAATGGAGTTACTTATATGAAGCATAAACTCTTTTTATTGAGTTTTAACTGTCTAAGTTGACAAAACAAATGTACACAAATAACATAAAAGAGAAAATTTTCTCTGATTAGTTTCTAGGTGGTATGAAGGAAATGCAATTTATAAAAGATTGTTTTTGTTGTTGTTCTAGCTGTGTGTTAAAAGAATGGCATTTAGAATAATCTTCAAACCTTCTACTGTTCTCTCCTTTTCAACTGAATCTAAGGGTTTTTTTAATTTCTTTTTATTAATGTTATTATTTGTTGTCCCTAAAACAAGGGACCCTTTGCCATTAGGTCTTATTTCCCTCCTAAACCCTCTCCAGCTGTCTGTAACCAACATTTCCATTTTCATTTTTTATATGAGGAAACAGACTCAAAGAGAGTAAGTAATTCTTCCAAGCTAGTAAGTTATGATGTTGATATCCATACTGCAGGCTGCTTGATTCAAGAAAGCCATGCCCTTTGCCTCTGCCTGTTCCCTCCACTTTGCTTTTTGGTTAGTTTCAGAGAGAAGCACAGAGCCCCAGAACTCCCTGGAGCCTAGCCTGAGTGCCCCAGCACACAGTTGCTGCAACCTCCCTGTCAACAGGTAAGTCACAGGGTGTTCAGAGCTGTGAACTTGGTGTGAGACATTGGCATGGGGGCTGCTGTATCCTGCTTTTTTGCTGATTACTGATGAGAAACTTCTTGCTTCTCCAGAAGAAGGTGACCCTATTCCATTGGCGGTGACAAAGCCATATTTAAACAGATATGAAGCCAAGGTGATGAGGGGTCTTATGGTAGCTGTGTGTTAGGGTGTGCCATCTCCTCTGGGATCCAAGTTCAGGCTCAGTTGTGGAATAGCAATGTGCTTCCATATTGTTGGGATTATCTATTACCCCATGAGGCTGTGAACAAACAACCACAAAACACAGTGGCTAAAAACAATGATTTATTTAGCTCTTCATTCTGTGAGTTGGGATTTTTGGCTGTCCTCTGCTGGGAGGTTCTGTATGGCTGGATGCCCTTGTGCCTCTGTGATCAGCTGCAGCTCAGTTAGGCAGCTTTGTGTCCAGGGACTGGCTGGCTATTGTCTGGGGGAGTCCTGGCTCTTCACCAGCAGACTATCCTAGGATTGCTCTCATGAGAAAGGCAGAGTTGAGAGAGAGAGAGGGAGGGAGGCAGGGAACTAGAGAGAGACAGAGACTGTGCAGACAGAGATCCACTGAACCCCCAGTCCTAGCCCTCCACCATTTCCACCACATTCCATTGACCAAAGCAAGCCACAGGCCATCCCAGATTCAAGGGGTAGGGAACAGACTTCACCTCCTGTTGGGAGGTAGGGCGAGATAGGCAGTCACGCTGCGAAGGGCATGGATCAGGGAGAAGAATTGAGAATTGTGGCTATCTTTGGAGTCAGTCTACCATAGATATTTAAATCTCAAACCCCACATGAGCCCATAGATTCCTGGACCTGGAACATTAGGCATTTTGAAACTCAGGTATTTATTTATGTATGTATTGATCTGTGGTCACTCCACGGTTCAGCCAATAGCTGTGGTCATATTTGATGTCAAATACACAGCTGGGGCCTGATGGCATCCTGTGGAGTTCACCTCAAAACGATTTATCTTGCTATTTAAAACTCTACTTTCTATTTGCCCAATGAAGATAGCTTTATTTTTTTTCTGATCCCATAAACTATGTAAGTTTATTGCTAAAGTATTTTGAACAATATATAACAATCTAAGGAGGAAAATCAGAAGCCCCTGTGATCCCCTTCACCTGCTCTAGGGTGTTCAGAACCTGCCTGAACGCAGTGAGGAGAGTGGGGTTGTGGGGTGGGAAGTGATGGACTGTGGTCTTGTGCCTTAAAACCCGCCCCACCCCTGTGGCCATGCAGCCTTAGCTGCCTCACTGGAAAGATGGATATGATAACTCCCCCATGGGCCTGGGGTGAAGATGAAGTAGTGGGCACACTCTGTCCACTGAGTACCTGCATGCGATGGGTTTTACTAGATGGAAGCAGCTCCCCCTGTTAATCATCCTCCCTTCTCTGACCGTGAGCCAGCACTCTTCCAGCAGAGACACCTCAGGATCTCCAGGACGGTCGGAGACTCAGTTCCAGTTCCGCTTTCTCTGTGGCAGTGGAAAACTCACGACTCACAACTCCTTCTCAAAGGGGCTTCCTGCAAAGAAAGGGAAAGGTGAGCAAAAGAGGACAAAGGACACTTGCAAGGAAGTCTGAGTGGAGAGCTGTGTGCCGCTGACACAGCTGGAAAACGGCCTGGGTTCTCTTGGGATGCTGGGCTCCCTCAGCTGAGATTTACAGAATTAGACTTAAATAAACCTGAGATTTGCAATTCAGGGAAAGATTTGTTTATTGAATGGCCTGGCAATGGAAAATGCTGTGTAGGATACAAAGTTGAAGATACCTGGTCCCACCCTTCAGGAAGTTGACAGCTGTTGGTGTGGGGTGATGACACCCCATAAGGTGTATGGTAATATAGCTGACAAGGCCAAGTGTCCTTGGAAGCAGCCTTCTGAACAGATGAAATGCAGGAGCACAGGGAGGGCACACAGGGAGGCACATGGGGTAATAGGGTTTGGACAAGTGTGGGAAGTTGAGGCTTGAGAGTAGCTAGGCCAGCGTGTCCTGGCCTTGATGTCCGGACTGATGGGAGGGGTGGATGTTGGGTGGCCCCAGCGGTGTGCTCAGGCCTCTGGGGTGCTTGATGCCTCGCAGGCAGGCTGGTTTCTGCTGAGGGGCCAGCTTGCTAAGTCTATGCTAGAATGGGGGGCAGTCAGGGGCGATCACAGATGTATCTTCTGCCAGAAATAGACCTAGCATCAGAGTAATTTCCGTTGTTGAGAAAAAAAGCACCCCTTCCTCAAATACACAATACTGCCACTGGCTATCTTAAAACTCTCTTAATAGCCACACAAGCCTACAGTGACCACTGGGGTACCGGTGTCCCCTGGAGCTGTGACAAGCTCCTCCTAGGGAGGGCTGTTCACTGAGGAGGCTGCTCTGCCTGGCCTTCCGTCTGAGTATCCAGAACCCTTTGGGAACATAAGACCCAGATGCCCCCAGAAGGCCTCTGTCTGTCTGTCACAGATTTGCTTTAAAGCTGCTCAACACATTACAGATGAGTTGAGCCTGGAGTTGCTTCAGGACATCCTCTTCCTGTGTGGCCTTGGGCTCCCACACACCTGCCCAGTCCTTGCTGCCCTCTAAGGCCACTCTCAGGTCCTGGTGAGTGTGGGGTGAGGGAAATGAAATGGGGTCCCAGAGGCCTTGTTCACCTTCTTTGGATTTTTTTTGTGATCACTCACTAAAGCTTCTTCTATTGGGGATTCTCTCAGGACACAGGTCACTCCCTTCGATTTTTTGCCTCTTGAGACAGGAGTTTTGCCTGGCATCCATGGGGACACATTAGAAGGCCCACCCTATCCTTTCACTCACTGGTGTTAGATTTGGATGACTTTCTTAACCTCTTAGAGCCACAGTTCCCTGAAAAATGGGCAAGGAATACACACCCACAGGGTGATAGCTGGGTTTAAATAATGATGAGCATTAAAGTATTTCCCAGATCACACTTGTGATACTAATATGAGATATTGTGAAATTGAGAATAGTTGCCCTCTGCATGCTGTTGATTCAACATTCAGAGCTAGAATGGTGGCTAGATTTAATTTCATCTATAAAACTAAAGGGATTTTTGTTTTCCACGAATCTCATTATACATAACATATATTTGTACTGTATAATGTGTACTATAATTTTGATACATACAAAAGATTATGTAACTATGCATGAATTACAAAACTTATAATGGGGTGAACACCCTTAAGAGCTAGAACTTTACACAATGTGCTGTACACACTGTAAGCCATCTGTGTTGAGATGTGCAGCCTAGCTTCCTGCTGACTCTGGGGAAAGGAGTGTTGGTAAGAGGTGTGGGGAGTTGAGATGGTGGGGGAGGCATAGTCCCAAAGCTGGGGATCCAGCCCCCTGGAATGTGACTCTCTTCTCTACCACGAATGACACTGAGTGTTTCCCCCAGTCCTCCAGGCCAGAATTCATCCTGCTGGCTGGAGAGGCCCCGGTAACTTTGTGTATGCCTGGATCAACTGTGGTAACTGCCAGGTCAGACTGGGCAGGATGGAGGATACTGAGGGGTCTGTGCCCTGCTTAGCAGGACTGAGATGCTGACTGAGCTGTGACTGGGGTCTCAGGCTAGGAGCCATGGGGGTGCTCACTCTCTCCTCAGACTCTTACCAGAGCCCTCTGCCAAGCCACCCTGCTGATTCTGGCCCTTCAGTACTTCCTTCTTCCCTTTAAAAGGGAACCTCGGTGACTTCTGGCGAAGTCTCTCTTGTCCTTCCAGACTCAGCCCAGCTTTATTGCATCATCCATCAGGAAATAGTGTTAAAGTGTTCAGTAGGTGCCAGGCTCTACTCCACACCCCAGATCTATCAGGGGGACACAGCAGAGTCCTCTTCACAAGGAGCTTCCATTCTATCATGTATGTGTCTGTGTTCTCTTAGCTCTGCTGCACCAGCCCAGGCAGACCATGGACCCCCAAGGGGTTCAACTTCTATGAAGAAGCACTGGGCATCTGGACAGGGGCTGAGTGAGAGGTTTGTCCCCTCTGAGTCACAGGAAGAGTCTTGGTGCTGCAGGCTCAGAGTGGGGACAGCACTTGCCTTGCCCTGCTCTGAGATGTCTTGCAGTGTGTCTTGAATGGGACCCTTCCTGATCTGGCTCCCTGCAAAGGACAGGAATGACAGTAGAATATAACCCTGGGTAGAGCATGGCAGAAGTCATAGGTAGGGAAGGGTGGCGCCCACTTCTCTCTCAGAGGTGGCCTCTGCATATGCATGTTGAATATGCCCATCAGGTGACTCAGGTGTGTAGCAGGGGTGGGAGCCAGGGTGGCTCAGAGTGTGCTATGTGATTAGCCTTGCCCAGGATCATGTGGGAACCCCTCCCACAGTGTCCACAGACCTGCGCTGGCCTCTGGGCTGTGGGGGCTGCCCTTGGGCATCAGGAAGCTGTGGCTGTAGGCATGGTCGCGATGGGACAAATTACACATGCCAGTGTCCATCCATGACTGTCCTTTCTGGGGTGATCTGGGCCAGGTCCTAGCCTGGGCTTTGTGGCTTAAGGTGCCATAGGAGTAGAGAAAAGAGTAGGCAAGAAGGGTCTTGAGCCTGATATATAAGACTCAGAGCAATTTGCTGTGCGGAGAAAGAGGGGAAGAGTGCTCCACGCACTGGGTGGTGTGGGCAAAGACACAGGCAGACAAGCCTGTGTGGCTGTGGAATGGTGGGTCATTCTGGGCTGCTGAGCAGAGGTAACAGTAGCCTGGTTGGGTGGTGAGGATGAGTCTGAAACTAATCTGAGTAGGCTGAAGAGGCAGAAGGCAGACTGCTACTCATCTTTGAATATGGCTCTGCTAACCTATTTGGTATTTCTCCATTTGAAGTAATCCCCTTAGCTCTAGACCTCTTTCTTCATTAGATCTGTGCCAGCCCAAATTCTCTCTGCTGTGCTCTGCAGGGGTCTGGGGGACAGTACGAGGTTGCCTGACACCTTCAGAGATGTGTGATTCATTGATGAGGGCCCTGAGCAGTCTTTCTGGGAAGCAGAATCCAAGGGGCAGCTGGGATTTCTGCAGGAGAGAAATGTCATTATACCTACCACCCCAGCCTTTGTGGAGCCCACACAGCCTGGCAGGCAGTGGAGGTTTGAGTTTGGTTCTGGACAGAGTTTACTAACTGTGCAGCATGGATAAGTCCCTTATCATCTCTGAGAGTTGTTTCTCTTCTGATGAATAGGAATCATACACATATTTTTCTATTAGGGTTGTTTGATACACATGAATTGCTTAGCTTGGTAGCTAGCCAAAATGAAGACTCCATGTCTCTTATTGTTAAAATCAATACTATTATTGCTTTTAGACCAAGAAAGGGAAATCCTATTTGGCTCTCAGGGACCTCTGTGTGAGGCTGCTCTGTGTGAGGTGGAATGTGACATTGCCTCAACAGTGGGGACTATTTTCCATGCTGTTCTGGCCTTCATCAACCTTGGGGAGCTCGCCTACTTTGGCTTGGCTTACATGAAAGATAAGTGTCTCCAGAGTAGGGCACAGCTGGCCTGGTGCCACAGGTAACCCAGGTATCTAGGTACCAGAGTGCTACTCCTTCTAAAAAACAACTGCCCTAGTCTGGGACACCTAACCTTACACATTTAGACATTAGCATGGTGAAGTCTTCAAGTGCTTATGTGCAAAATGACAAGTAAGTGCAGAAGATTGTAATGAAATACCGCATATAAGGTGCATATTTCTGTGATGGGCTGGGTCTTGTTGATTAATCTCAATGCATTGAAGTTAGATAAGCACATGTAAAAAACATTTCCATCTAAGTGGGAATATAAAATGGTACAACCACTAAAGCGGTATGGCTGTCCCCCAAAATTTACAAATAAATTTTCCACTTTTGCATACATACCCATAATAATTGAAATTGGGCTCTTTCAGAGATATTTGTACACCTGTGTTCATAGAATGTTCATTCACAGTAGCTAACATGTGGAAGCAACTCAAATGTCCATTGGAGATGCATGGATAAGCAAAATGTGGTCTATATATAGTTGGAATATTAGCCAGCCTTAAGAAAGAAAGAAATTCTGACATGCCAAAACATGAATGAACTTAGTGGACATTGTGCTAAGTGAAATAAACCAGTTTCCTTTTTATCTTTTATCTTTTTTTTATCTTACAAAATATTGAAGAGGAGGGAACACTCCTAAACTCATTTTACAAGGCCAACATTATTCTAATACCAAAACCAGAGAAGGTCACCACTAGAAAAGAAAACTATGGGTCAATATCACTGATGAGTATAGATGCAAAAATTCTCAGTAAAATACTAGCAAACCGAATTCAGGAGCACATTAAAAGGATCATTCACCATGATCAACTGGGATTTATTCCTGGGATGTAAGGATGATTTAACATCCGCAAATCAATCAGAGTGATACACCACATGAACAGAACGAAATAAAAGAATCATATGATCATCTCAATATATGCAAAAATGCTCTCTACTTCCATTTCAGGTAAAGAGTTTTTTTTCCTGGACAATGAAACCAGGTTGTGCAAAATAGCCCTTGAAAGCTGGTGTGAGCAGCCCCAGAAGAAGACTTCCTTGAATACTTTCACACTTTTTCTGAAGATAAATTTCTTTGTCAGTCACCATGGACTGCTCCAGTGAGTGCTCCCAAATTCTTCACTTGTTCCTTAAGGGATATATGTGTACAGGTTGATGCTAGGGATAATGGATGGGCAAGTGCTTGGTAAACTGTAAATTATGAATAAATAGCAAAAGTTATTATGGTTGATCTTCCATTGACTGGATTCTGTCATATGTCAGAAACTGTCATATTGTCAAACTTGTCAACTTGTAAAAACAAGAAACTGTCCTTTTGTTTCAAACATGATCTACTCAATGTAAAGGATCCCCTGACCTCAACATGCCCCTCCCCACAGCAGCCCAGTGATCAGGGTTGGAGGAGAGGGCTGTGGTTTCAGGGCTGGGCCATTGTCTCTATTCCTTTGTTTGCTAGAAATACCATCTAACAGTGTTCTCACTGGAACCACAGCAACAAATGCTTCCGTGGGAGTTGTGTGAGGTGTGTGGCCAGAGCAGCCCTAAACCAGTGGCAGGAATGGATAAAGAAGATCATCCTTGTCTTACTGTTATTACCCTCTGGTTTCTATTGGCTTGTATGTCTTTCCTTCTTTCCCTCTTTCCCAGACTGAAAAACCCCTCTGGTTTTAGTATTCTCCCTTGCTCTCAGCATTCCAGCAGCCTTTTTTTCCTGCATTTCTGTCCCAGGAACAGCCAGACAAGACATCAGTTTTACCTGATCCTGGAGAAGAAGCTGTATTGCAATGATGAGACACTGCTTCAGCTGGGAGTTCTCGCCTTGAAAGCCTAGTTTGGCAGTTACCCTGAGGAGGTAGGGGTGGAAACCTGGGGCCCTCAGTGAGGTCTTTGAAGAAGTAGTTATGGGACAAAGGGAACGGTTAGAAATGTGGAAACTGAGCCTGTGAGAAGTGTTGTTAGAGTCTATCCCTGAGATTGGGGTAATTCCTTCCATCCATCCATCCATCCATCCATCCATCTAATAAGTATTCATTAAGGGTCTGTGCTAGGCAATGGGAGATACAGAGATGAACCAGTCAAATGTATACATTGTAATGTAGTTCTAATCTATTGTCTCTCCTAAAAACAATAAGTTACTAATTTATTGAGTTCCTGTCATCATCATCACCACCGCCAGCATCATCATTGTCATCTGTAGTAATAACCAGCCCTTATTGAATGATCTCTGTACTGCCATTCACCTAGACACTTAACCCTCACTGCCACATTGTGAGGCAGATACTCACAATTTGGTAGAAGAGCCATCTGTGACATATGGCTAGAAAACAGTGAAGTCTAACCTTGAGACCAGGTGTTTCTGACTCCAGTACCAGTGTTGGTTCTGCTGGGTACATCGCCTCTCAAAAACTCTCACTCACCTGTTCTCTCACTGTTGTGTGTCACCTAGAAGCGCCATGTAAGTGGTAGCCACTGTTATTATAGTAGTTGCTTCTGATCTTTCATTTTTGTAAATGACATAAATGAATGTTTGTGCAGAGCTTTTCGAATGCCATGCTGACTTCTTTTAGACATATTCCTGGTTGGTTCAAAGGTCCTAAGTACTTACAAAAAAATTAATAGACTATTTTTAAGGGTAGTTTTAGATTCAGAGTAAAATTGAGTGGTACAGAAATTTCTCACCTACCCCCTGTCTCCCCACATGCACAGCCTCCTCCACTATCAATATTCCCCACCAGGGTTACATTTGTTACCATTGAAGAACTACTTTGAAATATCATTATCCCCCAGAGTCCATAGTTTACATTAAGGGTGGCTGTTGGTAGTGTACATTCTACAGACTTGGACAGTTTTATAACGAGGTGATCCATCCTCTGGTACAGTAGCTTGCAGAGTAGTTGCACTGCTCTAAAAATTGTTTATCTCTCCTTCTGTCCACTGGCAACAACTGATATTTTTATTGATTTATAATTTTGTCTTCTCCAGGATATCATACAGTTGGACTCATTCAGTATGTAGCCTTTTCAGATTGGTTTCTTTCACTCAGTAACAGGCAGTTAGGTTTTCTCCATGTCTTGTCATGGCTTGGTAGCAAATTTCTTTTTAGTGTTGAATAATATGCCATTGTCTGGATGTGCTGCAGTTTATGCATTCACCTGCAGAAAGATATCTTTTGCTTCCAAGTTTTGGCAATTATGAATAAGCTGCTAGAAACATCCACATGCAGGTTTCTGTGTGGACGTAAGCTTTCAACTCCTCTGGGTAAACCCCAAGGAGTGCAATTACTGCATCATACCTTAAGAGTATATTTAGTTTTGCAAGAAACTACCACACTTTCTTCCAAAGTGCCCATACTATTTTTCATTCCCACCAGCAATCAATGAGAATTCCTATTGTTCCACACCCTCTTCAGCCCTTAGGGTTGCCAGTATTCTGGATTTTGGCCACTCTAATAGCAATCTAAATGCTTTTGTAATGCACTCGATTGCTGAGCAATTTCTTTTCCTTTGTGTGTCTGAGCTAAGCTCAGAACTGGCATGGGCCAGCCCTAGGCTGCAGGATTCTCCCTACATGGCCACACGGGGACAGGTCTGTGCACTCCAGGGACATGGGGAGGTAGTGGCTGCTGTGCTAGTCCCCTCAGATCCCCTCCCCAGATGACTTGCCCGTTCCCAGCCCTAATAAGGCCACATGCTCCTGGCTCCCTACTGCCTCCCTCTCCAGCAGTAGCCCTCAGCTTGGGGAAGTTCTTGCCCAAGATTAGGCCAGGAAGGGCTGCCTGAGATGAGGATGGGCTGAGTCAGGAATACAAGGGCAGGGTCAGCTTCTCCCTCTGCCAAATCCTGCGTTCCTCGTTCCTTACATTGGACCGTGAGACCACTCCTCTGAAGCTTCTGTGTATGAGGATTGAATGAGTTAGTGTGTACTGAGGACCACCTGGCATACAGAAGGGAATTAAAACAGCTCTCCTTCTCCCTTCTATTCCTGCCATATGGTGTGGCCCAACTTCTAATATAGTAGAAAATGATATCTCAGGAGGGCACTTTAAAGGAGCATCCTTGCTCTGGGACCCTACCTGGGGCTTCTGTTCTGCTCAGAGTCCCATCGAAACTGTCTATGCCCCCTTTCTTCTGCGTCTTTCCAGCAAGTAGACTGTAAAGCCTATTTTCGAGTTGAAGATTATATCCCAGCAAGTCTGATTGAGTGGATGACCTCTCTCCAGGTCCAAGCTGAAGTCTCACAGATGCACCACCTGAGTCCTGTGCTCTGGGGTGAGGCTGCTGAGCTGGAGTTCTTGAGGGTAAGGCCTCTTGAGAGGAGGTGTTGGTGTTCAGAGGTGTGCAGCCAGTACTCCCTTCTGGAACTTTCTCTTGGGGTTGGGGGGAGCTAGATGTGCTCAGACTCACAAGGAAGTATGAGCAAAGGACTTGAGATTTTGGGAGGAAGGAAGCTCCATTGCCCTGTGGGACAAGGAGAAGCTTCTGGAAGCTGGTTGCACTGGAAATGATTCCCAAAAGAGTAGGATTTAGAGGCAGGGGTGGGTATGGCAAGGGCCTTTCTTCAACCTTAGGGCTCAAAGTTGCTTTTCTGTGGGCAGGGAGATCCACATTTCTCACAGAGACATAGGGGACAGCTGAAGTGCAAAGGATATGTGCCAAAAGAAAAGCCATTGGAAGACCCCAAATTTGCAGCCTTCCAGGCAACTGTCTTCAGCACAGCACAGATGGTGTGGCCACTCTCTCTGTGGTCCTTCAGCAAAAGCAATAGTATTTGAGTCCCCCATGTTTGTGGGCACACACAGAGCCTACAATGAACAGCCTTTGCACACCCTATAACTTATATCCACTGTGGGCCAGGCACTGAGGGGAATGGAGACAGAAAGGACACACTCCTTGTACCCAGGGAATCCCAAATCTCAAGGGGAGGGCAAAGAGGCACCCAGAGGCATGCACACTGTGACAACTGCTGGATGACAACAATAACCAGTTAGTCTATATCATGTAGGAACAAGTGGCCGCTTTGCCCATGCAGATGGAGTTGGGGGGTGGGAGTCACAGGGGAGGAAGTCTCCCCTGGCTTTCCCAGGACAGAATACCTAGCTGGGTCTTTAAATTTGGGAAGCAGTTTCGAAAGGAAACTCAGATTTATACATTTCTCTGTATAAAAGTTACTCTTAACAGAGAAATATTCTGTCCTTGTTTTTCTGCCTTTAACAGAGACAGGTGTTTGAAAGCAGAACTGCCAAGTCTGGCCTTTTCTTTTTAATCTCTCACTTGGCAGAACTGTCTGCAACACCTGGCACAGGGTAATAAGCCCACCAGCGTTTCATTTGCAAAGCCCTGACAGAAAGGTGCTTGCTGTGTTCCCTAGTCCAGCCGCTGTGCACATTTTTTGTCAAGAGGATGCAGCATTCCCTTGTTGAGGGACAGGTGGGGACTTCAAAATCATTGCACACATCTGATGGAGGGTGGCCATGGAACCACAGGGCCAGCAGAGAGACCAAGGACTCAGGCCTGCAGAGGCTCCTGCAGGACCCATTAAGCCTGCCTGCCTTTCTCCCAGGCTCTGGCTTTGTGGGCTGGGCTCACTGTGTCTCTCCCTTAGTTGAATGATGAAAATAATTGTGAAGGAAGGCACCATATCAGAAGCAAAAATGCATGAGATGTTTTTTCAGTCTTTGAAAGAAAACACTGAATAGATTTGATTTGATTTGCATGTGATCTTATCGGTTTAAAGAAACACTGGTTTGTACGGCTCCAGTGCTGCCTGGTCAAGCTTACTAATCCTGGTATTGTCCATGGTACATGAAACATGAGGGGGCTTTGCTACCCCTAGAGCCCACTGCGACCCTTATCCTTAGGGTGAGCATTGGTTAAACAAAATCTTTCCCCCCAGGATGATAATAAAAGTAACCATTGGCTCATGATTCTGCCTCCTGGAGAGAGCACACTTAGGTCTGGCATATTCATCCTTCTCTCTTTGTTCTGTGTATTCATATATATATATATATATAATTTGCTTTATAGTATATATGCACTTTGGGGCATTTTTATAATCTCATCTACTAAATGTTAAAGCTTTATTATAAATCAACAAATAGTGTACTCTAAATTCTTCTCAATACTCTGTTGTTTGGGACATCAATTGTTATGGGGCTATTTTAACAATACTGAGATTAACACTTCTTCTACATAAGTCTTTAACTGCATTTCTGCATAATATTTTAGGGGTAGGATCTTCTCATGAGTGGAGCTATGGGGTGGAAGGTTATAAACATTTTAGATAGTGTTGCTATAAATTGCTAAGCCACTATTTGCAGTCATTTCTGTACATTTCTTGTCCCTTGTACCAGGTTGTAAATGTCCAGAGGACCCGGAATCTGCAGAGCTCATCACAGAGCCCAGCTATTCCATAAACAGTCACTGGGTTATTTAATTACACCTCGAGCCTTCTCTTTTTTTCCATTATCAGGTGGTGCCTGTTGGCCTCCAGTTTGCTGATGACTAACTCTGCTAGTTCATCGTCTCACAGTAGAGAGACTTGGCTGAAATCCAGTTTGAGTAACACTGAATGACATATTCTGTCTGGACAATTCACAGCTACATTATCATATTAATCCCAGAACAACCTGTTCAAGGTTAACTCAGTGTTTTCCAAACTTCTTTAATCACAGTACCATTTTTTTTCACATAACTGGTGGATGTGATATACTATTAAAACATTCTCTTTTTTTTTTTTTATTTTTTTTGATAATCCCCTTTAAGGTGTTAGTGCTTTAAGGAAATCGTTGATCTCCAGGAGGTAGTACTCTGAAACCAACCCTATAAATCTGCCCTGAACATCACTATGAGAAGAGTTTGTCTTGATTGTTCAGTATATTTTCTTGCGGCTGATTCCCAGGAGTGGAATTTGGGAGCAAAGGCTATGAGTTGTAGTGAATCTCTTGGTGAGTATCTGGGAACAATCCATTTGTTCCAACAGTTTTCACTACAGCAGGAGGGCTACCCAGGCCAGGAGCCAGGAGAGCCTGGGTCTGGTCTAAACCTTGCTTCCCATAGTGAGATGGCTATAAGCATGTGGACATAAAGTGACCCTCTGAGGGGAAAACCAGCAATGGCAATGCAGAATGGCCCCCCAGAGGTGTTGCAGAAGAGATTCCTTAGCACAGCATGGAGACATAGAGAATATTATTTACATTTTTACAAATTGAAGCTGCCCTTAATGATATTATGTATATTCACCTCTGTTTCTGGTAAGGAAAATATTTAACACAGCCGACAAGGTCAGCAGAAAACCCACTGCCCCCCCTGCTTCTCTTACTGCCCTGGGCTCCTCTTTCACCAACAAGGTCAGCAGAAAACTCCTGGCCCCCTCCCCTTATCTCTCTCCTCTGGGCTTCTCTTTCCCTGCTTGCTGTGCACGCCGAAATGCCACATATATGGAAGCAGAAAAAAAGTATAAATTGCTTTCCTTGATTGTGCTTGGGGCTCAGACCTTCGGAGATTTCTCCCCTCTGAGCCCACCAGTGTGAAATAAACCTCCACCCTCCAAGACCTCCTACTGCTCCCTGGTTCTTCTGTCAGCAATCCAGTACACGTTTTCCATAACATTTCCACACTTTTTGGAAACTCTGTATTTTAGTTGTTAAGAGTGAAGGCTCTGAAGCAAACGGGCTCATATTTCCATTCCTGGCTGCTAAGTGGGGACTTTGACAGATTACTTAGCCCTTCTGTGCCTCCATTTCCTTACTTGAAAAGCAATAGCTACACCGCTTTCTTAATTGCTGTGAAGATTATGTGAAATAATGCATGGGAAATGTTTAGAATGCTACTTTACCATTTTAAGAATTTTGTGGCTCCAAATACTTCAGTATCATATATCTGTGTATATAGTTCAACAATAAAATTTAAAAAATCAAAATAAATGCTAAATAGTTAAGAAATGTAAGCCAAACCAACAAAGGCATCTTTGTTCTAGTGAAAACTACTTTAATACTTCAGAATTTTAAAAAAGTCACATCAAGTTCCTTCAAAGAATTTACTGAATTGTTTTGGGATGGCCCTGCCTTGTCATACCTTCAGCCCACACTTAGTCTGGTCACTGGATCATCCAGCACTGGTGCTCAATAAATATTGTTTCAGATGACGAAGGTGATGGTGAGGTGACAACGATGGTGATGACAGGGTCTCTCTGAAGTTAGAAGAAGTGAGCTGAGGGTCCAGAAATTCATGCAAGAGCATGTGAAGAGCTGTAGGCTCACAGGCCATGTAACATATGTGCGGAGATTATGTATCAATAGAAGGAGAAAGGTCAGCAAGGAACCAGAGAAAGGTGCTCTCAAAAGCCATAATTTGTCCATTTTTGTGACTCTGCCTGGGGGTGAGAGAGACTGAAGAGGACACAGTGTTCCTGCTGAAGCATAGAGATGGGATCTCACCAACAAAACTCTTCTGAGAGGGCTTCAAATGTCTGGAGCAAGATGTCCCAGCTGTGAGACCAGGTGCATCAACCTTTTTTCTGATGAGGGCTGGAGTCTTCTGGGTGAAGGTGAAGTTGGTAGAGACCAAGATAGAGACATACCATTCAGACATAAGACATACCATTCAGATGTACCATTCAGTTAGATTTATACTCCAGCTTTAGGAATTTGGTTGGCCTGTTGCAGTCCCCATCTCTGGCTGACCTTCAGGCCCCTGGAAAAATCCAGTCTCCTGGTGAATTGAAGACAGCCCTGGGCTGTGGGGTCCCCACCATGACACTGCCACATGGTGAGAAACGCCAGTGATAGGTCATTTTCTCTGCAGGATGCTCATGGCCATCGTCCTTCAACAGTGATCCTAATCATCTGGAAGGTTGCTTTCTGTGCCTGAACCTCAGCTTTTCCATCTGTGAAATGATCTGGTTGTTCCAGATACTATCACAGTAGACTTTGATTGACACAATTGGGAAAAGGAATCCCTTACCTTGATTGAGATGACCCAGAAGAATCTGAATTGTAAACACTTGTGCATAATATTATTACTTTATTGTACCATTTTCATAATATCTGTGTTCCAGGTGTTGGTTGAGGAACTCCATGAAAAAAGGATTCCCTGAGTTAATAAAACAGAAAAATGCTATCATATTGGAAGTGTGGAGAAATTCTGTAGTAAGATCTGTCTAGCTCAGTGCTTCCTGAACGTACTTGGCAATGTTATTATTTTTTTGTTTTTCAGAACATGTGGTAAGGAGTTTTTCACGGAATGGTTTTGAACACCATTATTTTAGAACAGTGTGACTGTCTTTTCTAAATTCCTTTTTCTTGCTGCAGGTCACTCAGCAGCTCCCAGAATATGGTGTGCTGGTTCACTGAGTTCTCCTGCAGAAGACAAGGCCAGAAGGGGAGATGGCCTTAGGGATCTGTGCCAAGGTATCATAGTATATGTGAAAAACAATAGTAGAATTGCAACTTAAAGGTTTCAGTGAAGAGAAATTGGGAAGATCTCGACTTGTGTGAGTGTAGCTCAGTTGATAAATGGCCTGTGCTTCATTTTCCTTTGATCTGTGGCCCCTTTAAGGGAGCATGGGTCATGTGATCTTCTCCTGACCAGATAAGTTCATAGCCTGTCAGTTAATCTGTACTCTGATACACTGTGGCATATTTGGAGGACATCTACCAGACCATTGGAAAGTCCCCAGGAGGCCGTTTCTTCTCTACCACCTCTCTCCCAGTGCCCCACTCCAGCCATGGCCTGAAGGGCTACACTTTCCCTCTGGCTAAAGTTCTCTGAATTTGGAGAGTCTACTGATAAGAGAGCAAGGCTGGAGGTGGGAGAAGGGAGAGGGGAATATACTGTAGGTGGCATGGAGTCTGCAAAGTTTTGAAACATTTCACTGTTTTAATTTTCCTGTTGCACACAGTATGCGAGGACATCTGGCCTGTCTCCCGTGGACTTCAGGTTTCCTACAGTATACCCTGGGGACTACAGACCTTTGATGTCTGTTGAGAATTTAAAAGCCTTTTTTTAAAAAAAAATTTACAAATCCCTATTAAATGTGTAACTTGAAATTGCATTTGAACACCATTTGCATCAGTATTTTTACTTCCTGAATTTAGTGACAAGAAATTCAGCACCAAAAACGTGTGTCCCCACAGCAGAGAGTCCTTTGGTACCTAATCTACCTGCTCATCTTGGAGGTCATCCCAGTCAGCATGCCATTATTTCAGCAATGATTTCACTTAAAACATGAAGTTCTTTGTCTTGTGGTCCATTAAAAAATTTAGTTTTTCTTGCTATTTAGTTTTCTCTCATAGTTCTTAAATTTTCTCTACTACTAGATTGCTATGTTTTTTATCCTTATCTGATATTAGAGTTTCCTGAGTAGAATGTAATTAGTTTTATTCATTTTCAAAAGGAAAATGTTTCAAAACAAAGCATCTTTTCTTTCTTCCATTTTGGCTGTTGAAATTAACATATTGTTAAAATGTGATTCTTGATAGAATTTCATAATAAATTATTGTCTGTCTATAGGCAAAAAAGCTTACCTCTGAAAGTAAATCATAGCTAAGCGTAATTTAAATGAGTTCATTAAAGTGACCTCTGTGCTCTCAGGAAACTGACGTCTTCCCAACTATTTTTGACCATATGTAAAAGTAAATGATATTTATGTTTGTGAATTTTTCAAAATTTAATGACTTGAATTACTTTGTCACTTGAAAGATTATTTGAAGAATGTTAATTATTAAATCAGTACTAGTGCATCACTTATTTTCCTTACATCATGTGTAAGTGTTCAAATTTTTCATTGTAATTTGTTTTAAAAAAAAACTGCCAAAGTGCAGATAACCTAAAAAGTAATTTTGAAAAATAGAAGTTTTTGAAGTTGTAAAGTTTAACAATCCTCATAAGTATATACTTTATATTTGTTGATTTAATTTTTACATATATTTTACCCATGACCAGGGTCACTTTCACAGTTGGAAAGTCATCAAGTTCCCAAGACAGACTCATTAGCTTAAAATATACTCTTGCCACTAATTGGGATTTCCATGTCCTGATAACCATCCTCTTCCTTAGAATGAATGTCTTTTTTTATGGAAAAGTCATCACATGAAGTAATGTCACCAGCTGCTTGCCACAAACCGGGCATCTTCCCCGGCCAATGACTTGAATGCCACACGCTTTGGCAAAGATGAAATGGGGAACTCAGTGAACAATACAAGAATGAACCCAGGAAGCTAGTTTGGAGTTTGCCTAATTAATAGAGGAAGCCAAAATGCTCCAAACAATCATAGATCATTCATCCTGTCAGCCTTCAGGGAAGTAACAAAGGAAATAGAGAAAAATGCCATTTTCAAAGAATATGATTCACAAGTTTGTTGGCAGCCTGTCTGCCAACAAGTTTGTTGACAGAGACAACATCAGTTCAGAAGATTATTCAATTAAGAAACTACTCATTGTAGAATGATGAACCTACTCATGTTAGTAACTGTTCCTGGTTATTAGCAATAGCTAGAATGTCTGAAGACAAATGCAGAAAAACAGGGAGTTTACAGGCTTTGTAGGGCTCTCTTTAAGAAAAGTAATAAAAAGTCCCAAATACAAACCACGATGGAAAGTGAGGAGAGAAAATGAGAGAAATTACCACAACTTGTGAATTTTAAAAAAGCTGAACAAAATACTGCAAAATCAAAAGCCCCCCAATAATATTATTATTATTAAACTCCCTGATAAACTATAACTCTTTTCGCCTTTCAAATTTTGGGAAATACATTCTGATTACATTTTCATATGATGACACTTTTGTAGAATCATTTTTGTCTAGGGAAAATACAAACATAATTCAGTCTTTCTTCTAGCATGGCTGATGGAAAGTTGTTCGTAAGATGCATTAAACATACAGCTTTGCACAGAGACCTATTAGCTCTCTGTAGTGCTACTGCATGGCTTCTGTGCTACAAACATAGGAAATCTAATGAACTCTATTTCATGTGATTTCCATAAAAAAACTGTGTGATGTATTGATGATGCAGTATATATACAGTCATACAGAAGATCTTTGAGAGGACAGAACTTCCACTTGATTGGGTGTTTTTGAGAATTAAATGACCGTTTTCCATTCCCAAAAATTGAAAATTTTCCTGGCCTCTAACTTTGTATATTTCAAACCTTGTGCCCCTCCAGTGTTGACTCCACATACTTCTGGTACTAAGTACTGTAGGAAACAGGTAACTTCATGCAGTCACTGGCCCTCTTATCTTTATGCTGAGACTTTGGGTGAGTTGGCCCAGTGGAAGTCTTCTGGGATAGCTGGCAATAAACTATTGCAGAGGACTCTGAAAACCACATAAATAAATCCTACTAAATCTACATACAGTAAGTGTATCACCATCTCAACTTTTCCTTAGTGGGATCGGCTTTCCCACCTATAGTAAGGGGAAGTGGGAAGAGTTGGAGTGGAAAGAAGAGTCAGTGGTCTAAATTGATTGTGATGAAAACAGCCTGCCTTCCTCATTTTATAAGAACATGATGGTCATTTAAAGGGTGTCAGATGATCAGCTATGGAAGTACATTTTTCTGATACTATTCCTTTCTCTTAAAAAAAAGCAGTTCCTGTGTGGTGATCTCTAATAAGTTCTTCACAATGGTAAAGGGCATATCAAAGTGTGGGCAAAGGGTCTGTTTGTGTTTATACAGAGGATCAAAGCCTAATTTGGCTACACAGAAAACGAACTAAGATACCATATGAAGAAGTTTCAACATCAACATACTCTGGAAGAGTCATTCCAGAAGATGATCATCAAAAAACGTCAACAAAGATCCTGGCACTGTTGTAGTCGTAGCTGCATTCATCCTACTGGTTCCTGGAATTGCCATTGGAATGAAGATGGAGTTATCTAAGCTGGCCTGTGCGTACAGTAAAACAACAAATTTGACTGGATCTATACTGTTGGAACTCAACCAAGAATTAGGAGAAGTGCAAGTTGCAGCGCTCCAAAATCTTGAGACTACAGACTATCTACTGTTAAAAGAACATATGGGAGGTGAACAGTTCCCAGGAATGTGTTGTTTTAAATTGTCTGATTTTTCTCAAACTATTCAAATTCAGTTAGACAATATCCATCATATCATAGATAAGTTTTCACAAATGCTTAGGGT